ACTCATAACCTTCCTTCACCCTCAAAGGATTACTCATCCATTTCCACATGGGCGCCAGCATCCAGACTGACTGTAGTTCCTGCTGATGTTGCTCAGCGAACCAATAAGCACAGCCAGCGACGGGCCCGCCTGAGATCACCGCCTTAGAACAAAGAGTCACAGCCTCTGTCAACAAGCTTGCTTCATTGACTCCCGCATCGGTGTGCAACAAACACAAACAACGACAGCTCCGGCCCAACAAGAAGTAAGTGAGATCTCTTTGTTAGCAGCTGGAGAAATCACCGTAACTTAGTTCTCACACAACATACATTTGCACAAAACAGCAAGTCAACAAGTGGCATCGTGCCCCCCCCACTCCCGCCCCATGCAAAGCAGGGACCATTCGTTCGCCATTCTGGGCACAGAGCCAAGCATCCAGATTCTTTGGAGCACGCCACCCGTTGCCAACCTGGGGGCGCCCACTTTGTCGGCCGTACAGCTGCTGCTGTTCAAACGGGGTGGCATGCTCTCACAAACAGCTCCTGTTCCAGGATTTAAAGCAGTCACATCTCACTCGTTAAAGATCCAAAACACACAACAGATGAAAATCACATTTATATTAGCGCCCTAATGCACCCAAAAAGCAACACAGATGCACATGTGAATGCATACACACACAGACACACACGCACATACAGAGCATACCCCTCCTCCTCATTTTATGGCTTGTTTTCGACATCAGCGGGAATTGAGTCGTGCTGAAAGAGAATTGACCATTGTGCTGACAGGAATACGCTCTCACCCTCAGCTGCACTTCTCCAGCCAGCGCTGGGGACTGTAACAGAATTGTGCAACAGCTTTTGTGTTGATCACTGCATGCACAACTGCAAAACGGGAGACCTAAGTTCACACTGCATTTCCCATCACTCACAGAACTAACAAGTCCCCCCGAAGAGCGGCTTTATCTTTGGGAAGATCTGGCATCTGTTTGTAACGATTTAAATAACAGTTTACGAGATTTATGTGCATTTTCAGGCAAAAGAGTACAATTTACTGCTGCAGGAACTGTGACAGATCCACAAACTGTGGCTCAACATTTCAGCTTTGGTCATAGAAATAAGACTGAAGATTACAGCCTGCAAGTTTCTGCATCAACAACATGAAAACACACACACAAGAAATGCAATCAAAATCACAGCATCAAAAAAAGTTGTTATTCAGCCACAAGCATTCCTCAGTCACTCCCTCGCTATAAAAAGGATGAACACAATACCCCACACACACACACTTCCCCTATGTTAGAAACAGTGTGCTCATCCAAGAGCTGAATTGGCCTTTTCTTCCTCGCACAATCTTTATTTGGGGCCACGTGACAGAAAAGCATTCAAGTTGGATTGCAAGGCAATCAGATCATCGCTTGTTAGGCCTACATCAGGACTGCAGATTTGGACACCGTCACAACTTACTATCTTGACTCTAATGCAACAAGAAGTGCGCGTGATCTCTTTTATAATAGCTCTTAAAACAATAACACCCTTGAGCAGAATGAGTGCACACAGAGACGATCGATTTTAAACTGTGTAACATGCATTAATATATGAATGAGAGAAAAATAAACAACAACAAAAAAACCTAAATGTAATTAAGTCTTTAACCAAATGTGCAATTAAATGCCGGTTGCGCAGAATTATCTGTAAGAAATGTCACATTCACATACATATATGTATAAAATATAAAGCGGCGAGCATGCAAAAACCTCGGGCCGGTTATTTACATCAATCTAAAACGCTGCAGTCAGAGCGTGTTTGTTTGCCTCATCTTACCCACCCACTAGCCCACATAAACATTGCGCAGGCCCCATCAAGCCCTTTGTCCTATATATCTGATGTCGCCAAATGTCATGACAGTCCGTTATATGCTTCAATATGCAAACGACTCATTATAGCAATAACAGCATAATGCATTTTTTTAAATCCCAGCCGGTTAAATCTCTCGTCCGCGGCGGCGGGAACGGCGGCGGTGACACCGTTAAATCCGCTCCGTGCAGGAAGCGGTTAAACGCTGCAAAACACCGCACAACAACAACAGTGAAGCGTCGCCTGCCGGTCGGACCCACGTACCTTCAGGCTGGACTTGAGTGGTCCTTTGGCTGCGGTGTGGTTGAAGCCCGAGGCTATCTCCTCCTCGGAGAACTCCTTGAGGCTCCCGTCTTGCATGAGCACGGTGTAGACGCTTCGCCGGGCTCCCGCAGCCGACAAGTCTCTGTTTTCCTGCTTGACAGCCTGGACCACTCCTGTCACCGGGGCACCGTCCCCCGTCGGACTCGGCGCATAAACGCGGCTGCCGAGGACCGAGCGCTTCACCAGGCGCCTCGTGTGCATCTCTAAAAACTGTTTCACTGTATTCAAAGCCGGCGAGCCGGTAAAATTAAATCATTAAGCGTCGAATTATAGCCGGTAAACAGCGTCGTGAAAAACACAAAACTGCAGCGGGTAGACTACGCGCTCCAACAGCCCTGACAAAATGTTAGAAAGGGGCAACATACTCGGAGGAGGGGGAAACTCCAAACAGCGTCCGGAATGCACCGCGCACAAGCACCCCGTAAAAAAAGAAACAAGAAACCGACCAGCTCTGAATTAGTAGCCGACGACTACGATTCATTCGCCGCTAAACAACCTCTACATCCAACCGGCTACCAATCTTCCTCCGTTCGACCTGTTTGTTTTCCTCTCTGCTCCCTGCGAGCTGAAGGGGCGGCGGGAAAACGCGGACTAATCGCCGTAGTCGTGAGCCGAGGCGACACTTATACACGATTATGTAAAAATGGTGGCTAATACAGGGCAAACAGCTTGAGCATAGAGGTACGGGAGCCAGCACGTCGAATTTTTCCGCCCCACACGGCTCTGTACCCCGACACCTCGCCGTATGTGTTACAAAAGATTGAAATTTGACCGTTAACCGGCTCCGGTTCCAACTACTGCCGCATCCAGTCCGCCGTCACCTCAGACCGAGCGGGGACTCTACCGGCGGAATGCTGCCTGTAAACATGTGCGGTCCGGCGGCCACGGCGGTCTCTAATTGGTCGGCGCTGCACACGCCTCCACAAGCCCCCACCGCTCCCCTTCTCCTCCGAAAGAAGGTAAAGCAACCGGGGAGGATGCTCCATTGAAAACAATGACGCAAGGAGAGATTGGAAGCGAGAAGGGAGGGGGTTATGGCAGAGGGAAGAAAGGAAAAAGGCGGGAATTTAGGCTGTGGAAGAGAGAAGATTTGGACCAGGCAGCAAAGCTTCATGCTTTAACCTACTTGTACAGCCTACTTTTCAGGTGCCGTGGGACCTCTGAATTACTATGATCTGGTTAAAAATAAATAAATAAAATGAGCTGAACTGGTCTGCGTTTTTGCTTATAAAAACAACAGGTTATTTCCCTTTTTTTAACATGCCAGTTTTGTTCTGGTAAAACTGGTTGTCGAACATAAGGTCCGGGGACCATAATCGCCCTGGCAAAGACTTTAACCGGTCCCACAGTTTTATAACAAATAAAGGAGGGTATAACTTTGGACTCTTAAATATATTTTCACAACTTTTACTGCTGTTTTGTTTTTTATAGATGGATAGATAGATACAATTGCATTGTTTTTATCATTTTTCATCTTTATACCAGCACAGTGGATTTTACACCAAGTGCAAACTTTCACTTTGAATTCAAGGGGTTGCATTCATACAGTCATTTTCATACAGATGCTCAAAAGTAATTGGAGAGTTAACCAAAGGACGATGATGTGGCTACTGATAGAAGTAGCAGGATAAACAGCAGGATGTGAAGTGTACAGGGCTACACTCTCCGGATAATGTCTCAAAGCATGCTGCAAAAGCAACCCAAAAGTTTCTCAAATCAAAGAAATTGGATATTTTTCAATTGCCAGGTCAGTCACCTAATCCCAGCCCAATAGAGCATGCTTTTCAATCCCTGAAGAAAAAACTGAAACCAGAGAGAACCCCACAAACAAGCAAAGAGGCAATACAAATAAAAAAATGTGCTGCTGTATACTAATGGACCTAATTGTACAGAACATCGTAGAGCAGGGATGTCAAACTCATTTTACATACTGGATCATATAAAGCCCATTGTCATCTTAATTGGGCCTGACCAGTGAAATTTGCTTTTTAGTCAGTGCAAAGAAGTTGATTAAAATGATTAAAATATAGTTAAAAGACCAAAATTTATGCTGTTCTTCACATTTTCCAAAGATGTCCAATAGGCCAGATTGGAGGCTTTGTTGGTCAATTCTGACCCCTGGGCCTTATTTTTGACAACCCTGCAATTGAGCCTGAAAAGGAGGGAAAGGAGTAGAAGAAGCAGAAAGACACAAAGAACCGAAAGGGGAGCAGAGGAGGACAGGAGGGAGACAACAACAGGTGTGAGGACCCTTCGATTAAACAGCATTATCCTTATAGGAAGAAGGAAAAAAAATACTTTACATACTTAGGGATGAATTTATATCATCATAAATACATTTTAATTTTCCAAGGATAGACAGCGCCCTCCATAACGTTTTAGAACTGTAAGAAAAAAGTCAGCAGGGTCTTATTAAACACTTGTGCCCAGGGGTCTCTAACTTGATGACCGGGGTAGTCCCCTTCCTTCAAATAATCTTAAAGCCGCCTCAGAGGGCTGTTAACTCTCATATAGCTGGCATCACGTACTAAATGAGACATTTAAAAGTGTGATTTCACAAGCTATCGCTCTCTGAGAACCAAAAAAGTCCCGGGATAAATCTCTCTCTTTTGAAAAGAAAGTTCAATTTGATAAATCAAGTGTGCCAGCACGCTGATTCATCGTAATTATCACCCAGCGTGGCAGAGAAAATACACCAAAGAATGTTATCACAGAAACAAATGACCTAATTAATGTCAAACGTTAATGTTTTTGGAAACTCTTACCCAGCGTACAATCCTTCTACAAGACATCGCCCCAGAGAATTAAAAGACAAAATGGCACCATTTATTATACTTATATATTTAATAGAACAATTCATGTCATAAAATATTTACATGCACAGAATGGAAATTGGACAGAGTGGAGTGACAGATGTGGCTATAACCGCCAAACCAGGCTTTGCCCTTTAATCAAAGGCGGGTGTCACCATAGAGTTGTCTGATGGTCGTGAGCGGGAGGAGGGGGAGGAGAAGGGAGGGGGCGGGGGGCAAATCATCTCATTTAGTGAGGGTGCTTCTCCACTGCCCCCCCAATCCCTATAAGGAAATATGTGTTTATCTGACCAACAGCTTGAGAGAATAATCTTTTGGTGCAAGTAAGCATCTTTTAGCGGTGTGTTTAAGTTTTGTCCTGATTAGATTTGGCACCAACACCCCCCCAACTTTGGCAGATCTTCCGTCCTAGTGAAAAAGAAAACAACAAAACTGATAATTAAAGATGTTTTTCTCATAAAATACTGGGAGGTGGGTGTGTGGGGGGGGGAGTGGCATTTAAAATCCTCTTTCACAGTAGCAACACTGGGAGATACAACAGCATTTCAAATGTATATAATTTATTAATCCGATAGCAGTCAGAGCAGGCCGTATGAAACCACGGGCGAGCTCCAGCATGTCTAATGAAACACAAACCCGATGCTGGGGATACTGTAACGCTGTAATATTCTGATGTGGGTGGAAACAGATGACACCAATTTTTCTGCTAAGAGGTTACATACTGTAGCAATGATAAAAATAATAACGACGACAAAAAAAAAGATATTTACAGCACAAAGCAGAGGCAGTATTCATTTAAAAATAAACAGTAACGAGGCAATTTCTTTTTTGTGTTTAATAAAAGTACCACAGGTTTCTTAATATGCATGTACCAAAGGGAGCTGTACCATATGTCTGGCATTTCAATGGATATTCTCAGATATGAAATGCCATCAACTTTGAGTTAAAATAACATGAAAACATGGTTGAAGTTGTTTTTTTTTCTTAAAACAAGTCATACAATCAGTGCTTTTAATCTTATTTTAAAACTATATGACTCTGGACATTGTACAAATAAGTAAAAGCTCACATTAAATTTTCCAGCGAGTAACAGTTGATTAAAATACTCCTCTAACTACAAGCCTCGATTGGCACTGTCGTCAGTTCAAGCTACACAGAGACAGGCATGGTTTCCTGTATTTAAAAGAAAAAAAGAAGCGCTAGATGTTGAAAAGTGTGCAGCGATGTTAACTGCTTTCGATAATCTGTACTTGTGCTTTAATGCCGACAGAAGACTGTACCAAGAATAGACTCGAGGAAATATACGAAGTACAATAATACAAGCTCGTCGCGTCATTTCATCACAATACGTCATCTGAACTTGTTTGACCAAAGTGTGCAAAATGACAATATACACTGACACATTCATTTTTCTTTCTTTCTTTCTTTCATTTGTTTGTTGTTTTTTTAAAAACAATGAACTCTTTAAATGCTCTGGGGGGGAACACGTACCTAACTGCCACAATCCTCGCAACTCATTTTCATTTAGTATCTCAGTAAAAACGCTAGAAATTTAATTTTTTTTATAAATGCCTATTCGCTTTTTTCTCTCACAGACATACTTTAACATTTCACAATTACACAACAATAATCGTCTTCAAATAAATATGAAATTCACAAAAAAAACCCTTTGACATCGACTGTAGCTCTTCTAAAAGAACAACAACAAAAAAAAGCTTTAAAAACGTGTTGCGACACTTCCCTTCTTCCTTCACTCCTCGTTTTCCGTTTTTTTGGCTCGCCACAGATGACTAGCGTCAACCTGCGACACGCTAAGCCCGCACACATGCGCCGTGTAGTCTGAGCAATGACACGTGTGCGCGGCAGGGAATTCATCAGCTGTGTTAAATGGTGAAAATCTACTGAATGCAACCTCTGTCTCTGCTAACCGTTTGGCAGCAAAACTGAGAGGGGTGGGAGAAACCTCATTTCTTGTGGAGAATGCACAGTGGAGGTGTTGCCGACCTGACAGGAAAAAAGCCTAAAAATACACCACCTGACACCTCAATAAAACATGACACTGAGTCACTCGGAAGAAACTAGAAAGACTAGCAGCTGCAGAGAGAGCACACAAATAATATAACCTTCACGTGTGTAAGTGCATGAATTTCACCATCACTTTATGGCACTGAATTACTTTTTTCTTTTTCTTAGATAGTGTCGTTAGCTAACTATTAAAATGCTGCATGAATGCTGCGATTGGATATTTATTTGATAGTTTAACCATTGAATATTTTTCTTCCACAATCAAGTGTTGTTAAGGCCCACCAGTACCGATGACATTCACCATGACTGATGAACTAAAGGAGTCAAGTTTGGATGTGATAAACCGTACCCAGGCTATAAGGAGGATGCTCGTGCACGGCTGGGTGGATGCTGCGGCGAGCTGTTTTCTGTTCACAAGTCATGCGCCCAAAGCATCCTTGATAGCAAGCTTAAAGCACTGCAGCGAAGTCTGTTAGATGCATCCAGGCGATACGAGGAGGGGAGCGGGGACGATGACTTAAAGGCGGGACATTTCTGGGCCCAGACCCAGCTCTCCGACGCTTTCATAGTCGGGCTCCGCCTTGCCCACGTCTGACCCCTCGGCTCGGTGCTCGTCCTCTGAGCTATTAGTCTTTGGGATGCGGATGGTTTCGTAGCCTGGGTCTGTGCTGTCGGCGGGGCCGGGCTCATCGGGTTGGCTGTAGATATCTCGAACGGTGGCGTAGAGGTCACCGGAGGAGGAGGCCGGGACCAGACCTTTAATCTCCGCTATGCTGCTGTAGTCGTGCTCTTTGTCCTCCTCGTTAACAGCGTCGTCACAGTTTGTTTTGTTGACTGTGGAGTACACCGCTGACTGAAAGGCACAGAGAGAGAGAAAGACAAAAATGACACAAACCGTTAACCACAATCGTGTTGTTTTTCTTCTTCTTCTTCTTTAGTTGGGTTATTACTCATCTAATATCGCCAAAAAAGCTGCACGTCAAAAACGGCACAACAGTGGAGATAATAAGATTGTTAAAACACTGACGCATTCATACTCAAGGACCCCTGCTACGTCCCCCCCCTCCCCAAGCACATTGTGTGATGTTATCTGACTATTTTTCCACTGTGTTCTATTTTTTTTTTCTCGGGTGCTCGGAGCATTTGCATTCGCACAGCAGAGGAGCTGCTGTCTCGG